CTATTTTTGGATGATAAACATTTGTATCAGGTCAACTAAACAATAGTTAATATTAATAGTAACAATATTTTTATACTACATTTATCCATTTTAAATACACCGAGTACACCTTTGTAACAACTAAGACAAAATGTAATTAATTCCGAAAATCTTTTCAGGACCCCACCTTGATTTTTCGGGACCCCACTTTGGGTCCCGACCCCAACTTTGGGAAACACTGCTCCAGACCATTCCACAATCCTACACCCTGAGTTAAAGTAAATCTTTCTTTCAAACTAGTATGAAACCAAGGCTTCACAAACAATTCCATCCCCTTAAAATAATAATAACTCTCTCACTTAACAAAATTTCCTTGAATTTTGGAAGGTTATGTGTTTTTGTGAGCCTTATACATAAACAGTAAAACTGCCTAAAGGACCATAAAGACAGTATTTTATGTTCACCCCATTATACACTCTCAGGGTGGGATCAGAAAGTACTGTAGACTTTTTCTCCTAAAGTCAGGGGAACAAAGACATTCCACCCTCTAAGTTTTACATTTTAGGACAATAAAAAAGACATCATTTTTAACCAGGTTCTGATTTCATTCAAATTTAACCTCAACTAAACAAAAACAGATTGAACCTGTCCTTTTAATTATAATCTTCTTGTTTTGCTAGTTTGACATGGCTGTTTATTAATCTGTATTTACTCCACCACCCTCACCAGGGGGTTCCTAAAGGAGTACATGTTGCCCAACTCGTTGACCTCGCCGAACTCTGAATAAATGAGTGAAAAATAAATTGTTTGTACTCCTTTGTTTTAAAAAGGCAAGAAAGACAAACACCTGTGGCAAGCTGCAAGTGTCTCAGATATACAGGAGATCATGGATTGCAGTGGTTTTCTCAAAATGTTGGGCAATAAAATACGAAGTTAAGAGTATTGCCCTTTGTTTTTTTTGTTTAAAAAAGTAATTTGTATTTCTTTGTTTCCTTCTAAACTCCAAACTGTGCTCCTGACATCAAATCATAGTTTTGTTTAAACTTCAAATTACTGCCTCTAAACTAAAGACCATTTACAGATTGGACTTTTTGTTTCCAGTGGTTGTGAAAAAGCCGGTCTCACCTTGGCCACAAACGTTCCTCCAGGTTTGAGGASGTGGGTGGTGATGTTCAGAGCCTGAGAGACAAACAGCTGTCAGTGCGATGCCACCAAATATCCGGCAGGTAAATACGCCACGCGTGTACTCAAGGCCAACAGGAGCTGAGCTTGGATGTGCTCGTCCAGGTCGTGGAGTCCCGTTACTATGGAAACATAATGTGTATCTCTATGTGTCTCTGTGGTGGAATGACATTCTGTCTCTATGTGTCTCTGTGATGGACTGACAGTCTGTCTCTATGTGTCTCTTTGATGGACTGACAGTCTGTCTCTATGTGTCTCTGTGATGGACTGACAGTCTGTCTCTATGTGTCTCTGTGATGGACTGACAGTCTGTCTCTATGTGTCAGACACGTAGAGACAGACTGTCCTCCCTGGAGCTCGGTCTGCAGCCGAGCTTCTTTCTGAAACTCTACAGCTAAGCTCCCACCCCACAGAGCACCCCTCCTCTGAAGCATTGTTATGAAAACTTGCTGAAGTGGGAGTGTCCAAAACGGTAGGAGGTTCTTAAAATGACAGAGGCATTTAGATAGGCTGTGATGCAAGGTCGAATTCATTTTTTTTACTTACTTTATACAGCCTTTTCATAACAACTGAACATAACAGTTACTCGATTGTGGTATAGAATTGAACAATGTGCCTGGAAAAATGCATTACCCCCTTTAAATAAGACAGTTCAGCCTTCGGATGATGTATGTTTGAGTAATCATACACTACTCTGTTATCATGGTGCTATGTTTTGTATCACATGAGATTCTTTATAGATAAAATCATTTTAATAAGGGATCAAATTCATGCCAAATTTCCTGCTACTGTCTCTGATTCTCTGTCAGATTAGGAAGCTTTAGTGTCACTAGAACCTGATACATGTTTGGACAGTTTTTGTCTTGTTGAGCTCTGAATTATCTAAAATAATAGCTTCATCCAAACCATCAAAATGTCTGCTAGATCCTACTCCAACCAGATTGTTAAAAAAAAGCATTTCCCCTAATTAATATCCATATTTTAGATGTACTTAATTTATCTTTAATGAATGGTTATGTGCCACAGAGCTTTAAGGTTGCTGTAATTAAACCTTTACCTAAGAAACCTGATCTTGATTCAGGAGTTCTGGCCAACTTTAAGCCTGTATCTAATCTCCCATTCATCTCAAAAATTCTTGAGAAAATAGTTGAAAATCAATTATGTGAACATCTGGATAGAAAGAATATTTATGAGGAGTTTCAGTCAGGGTTCAGAGCTCATCATAGCACAGAAACAGCACTGGTTAAAGTTACTAATGATATTCTTATGGCCTGTGTTTTTTTTTACCCTGAGCTTGTCTCCTCAGGTATTTATCAACATGAGGTAAATCTGTGGGGGTTTTTTTACCCTGAGCTTGTCTCCTCAGGTATTTATCAACATGAGGTAAATCTGTGGGGGTTTTTTTACCCTGAGCTTGTCTCCTCAGGTATTTATCAACATGAAGTAAATCTGTGGGTTTTCGTACCCTGAGCTTGTCTCCTCAGGTATTTATCAACATGAGGTAAATCTGTGGGGGTTTTTTTACCCTGAGCTTGTCTCCTCAGGTATTTATCAACATG